TGTCAGGGGATCAACAGAATCCGATTTGCTTATGAGGCCCAGGTGCTGCATAGAAAATGAAGGAGGAGGAGGTTTGGATGTAGGTAGGGACTAGGTAGGAACTGTGGACCATACAAATGTCAGACTATGAGTCCTCGTTAATGGGTGGAGCAGTTGGGATAGAGGAGAAAATTCAGATTCCCCGTGTAATGGAGGAAGGAGGTATTGAAGAATGGGGTTTGGAAAAAGAGGAACTGAGGCTGGGCTCTTGGGAGCAGTGTGGGTGGTGGGTGAGTCAATCAATGGAGACAACGTGGTGGCCCCATGTAGTTGAGACAGGATTATTTGAAGCTCACATTTTCAAGAGATATGATCAGCTCTGACAAATGGGACTTCTCATTACAAATTCTAGCAATGCACATCTCTACTTTACTCTCATCTTACATTTGATGAAAGCTTCACCTGTGCCTGTTGAATTTCAACATGTCTTTTAGAGGGAAAGTACATGAAGGATGAACTTAGTCCCTTTGTTCTCAACGCTGCCCCCATATTAGAAACTTTCCACGTTTTAAAAGCCTAAAATGAGACTTTCCACTAGATTACTTAATCTGAACCTCATTATTGGGATTCTGTAACAGGTTCATGTTTAAATGCTTCTAGAGGGTTACTTTATGCAAAAAGGATTGATAATGCCTACTTGGCATCTCTTCTCATTTTCTTGAGGAAGAAAATTGGCCAAGAAGACAGGACAGGTTGAAGAGGCTGAGACTTGGCTCCAGATGGGACCTCAGGCCTCAGGGAAGGGGGTCTGTTCTCCCACAGAGCAGGGTCCAGGCAGGTGGTCCACACATCCTGATCCCAGTCATCCCCTGTGGGGGCTGGAAGGCTGTGCTGGGAAGCAGGTGTTAGGATGGGGTCATGTCCCAGGCAAGCAGAGTCTAGTAGGAGAAATCAAGAAGACTCTCCTAGAAACCAAAGTGTGATGGATGCGCCTCAGGGCTGTGATTGGGAGGACTTGGGCAACGCTTTACCCTAGATTAAGAGAAAATGCTGGATGGACAGATGTGGTTCCTTCCTGGGCACTGGACAGTGTCCTTGTTGGGCAGGGTTGGCCCGGGGCCAGATCTGATAAGGGCTGTACTGAGACAGAAGTCTGCTTCAGGGTCCACAGCTGGTGACAGTCTCAAGGCCTGCTTCTTGGGGCTTGGATGGGCATGTCCCCAGGCTATTTCCTGGGCAGGCAAGAGTGCCCAAGACCAGTCTTCACAGGGCTGGGGCCAGGGCACAGAGCTGCCTCCAGATTCCCAGTCAGACTGAGGACAGCAGGCCTGCCTCCAGGGGCACTGATGGGCATGTGTCTTGTCTGCTGCCTGGATGGGCCGGACTGCTCCTGGACTGTGGCTAAGAGGGGCTGGAACTGGATCATGGGCTGCTTCAGGGTTCACAGCCAGGGACACGGTTGTCAGGGCTGCTAACTGAGGCATGGGTGGGAGTGACTCCTGCTGGGTCTCTGGCCAAGGGGTGCAGGTGGCAGGAAGAAGGCAAAAAAAAAAAAAAAAAAAAAAAAAGGAAAAGATTTGCGATGTTCCCAGGGGGATGCTGTTGTCCTGGGCCTGTCGCCAGGACCCCCTGAGCATGGGCCTGCCTTCTCAAACATCACTCCTCAGCCTTGGGTTCCGCCAGGATTTCACAGTCTCCTACCTGGATCCAGAAGTTCCCACAAAGGCACTTTTGTCCATGGATGGCTGCCAAATAATGATTGCTGAGTGGGGACACGAGTGGAGGACCTCCTATTCCATCATCTTGCTGATGTCACTCTCCTTTTAAGCAATATTTTAAAAGCTTAGGTGATTTCTTTGTCATTTTGTTCTCTTTTGGCTAGTAATTTTTGTGATCAATCTAAGAAGACTTTGTCTATTCCAAGGACATGAGGATGTTACTATATTTTTTATTAGAATTTTTATGATTTTAGCTCTTATATTTATGACTATGATTCGAATCAAATTGAGTTTTACACATGGGAGGAGGCAGTGGTCAGTGTTCACTATTTCCAGACCACAGGATTGTGATCCATTAAAGAAAAAAACACTGATTATTTCAACAGAAAATAGTTTGACAAAAATTCAAAACTTTCTAATTTTAAAACAATCAGGAAACAAGGAATCAAGGGGAAGTCCCATTCCCTGACCTGAGACAGGAAAAGTGAATAAAGAAAAATAATTATTTTAAGTGGTTTTATATTAGAGATTCTCCATTTGAAACTGGGGTAAAACAAACATCACGTGTCAAAGAAGCGATGTCTTAGAATTGCTGTGGGTGTGGCGTCGTTGGTCCTGCAGAGAACATTCTAGATTGCAAGCTGCCTCACATGCAGGGAAGCCCTTGTCTGTCACAGTTTTCAAATGTAATGATCATGAGGAATAGTCCTCCAGGCTCTCTAATGTGTCACGTTTTTACAGATCGTCATAGTAAAGATGTTCTTGAATCTAAAAACTACAAAATGTCTACTTACAACTGTTTATCCCAGATGTCCGACTCAGTCCAAGGACAATATTTCACAAACCAAATTAGAAATATGAAACATTTAAGTAAAAAGTAATAACACGATACGCATGCATTACTTTGGGGAATGTAAACAGGGTCAACTCATCAGAAAAAAATGTTGATAAGAATCATAATTGTGTCCTTGTTCAGTATTTCTATCCTTAAATTTTATTTAAGAGAACATGCACCCTGCGGGTTAAATTTAAGTTTGGAGATTTACTAGTAAATTATTATAAGAAAAACAAGTATTCGCTCATCTCAGCGTGGTCAGTTTCTCCAGCAGGGGTTGTGTGAGCCTGGTCCTGAAGGAAGGGGACAGCGGTGGGACAGGAGGACCAGAAGTGCTCAAAGAGAAGCGGGCACTGGGGTTCAGGGTTAAGTATCCTCTTAGCAAAGGAGACCAACTTGTGCTTTTGTACAGGCTCCAAGGGAGAGGTGAGGCAGGAGCGGGGGGAAATGATGGCCACACACACACAGAATTTTAATGTGACACTCGACAGCTTTACATAATGTTGATGGCGAGAGAAACGTGTAAGCAGGGAGGTACCTTTATCAAATACATGTGCTTGAAATATCTCTCTAAATACAGAGTAAAGAACGGAATAGAGTGGGCAAACTGTGGGACGAGGCCACACTGAGGGACTCTGCAAGGCCTGGGGAGCAGGGCTGGGCTCCTGCACGTGGCACCTGGAATGGGGCAGAGCCGTGTGCAGTTGAAGAGAGGCTGCAGGCAGAGCACCGAGAATCTCAGTGTCCACGTCCTGAGGGAGGGGAGGGGCTCTCAGCCAGCAGGAGCAGGCTCCAGGTGCCCAGAGGAATTCTGTGAGTCTGTGCACTGCCTGTTTCTCCTGCTGGGATCTAAGCTCCATGTGAATAGGACTTTCCCCCTGTTTTGTCACTGTAGTATCTACAGAGCCCAGGAAAGTGTGGCAAAAGGACAAACTCAGCTCATGATCATTGAAAGAATATTTGAATTCCCCTGAATCGCACACCTTGGTGAAGAGCAGATCTGAGGCAAAGACAGTGATTCTGCTTTCTAGACATTTTGAGTCTGGAGTTCTGAGTCGATTCAAGAGGAGACGTTAAGTAATAAAGGTGATCTTATTGTCTATAGAACAGAAGAGAAACTCGCCCTTGACCCTGGGGAAGGTGACCAGGGAGATGGACTGGATTCCGCGGATTCATGTGGAGGAAAAGGAGAAGGATGCGCTGGGCCTGCAGGGACTGAGGAAAGAAACCGCGGGGAGCAGGTGAATGGGGCACAAATTCCGAGCACAGGTGACAAGCTTTGTGAACAAACAAACTGAAGAATATGGGTGAGCTGGGTGAATGTTGGACAAGATTTCACTTAACAACATGTAAGATAGCCATTTGCCAACAAGATGCTAAATATAGAGCTCACGATCCAGCACAAGATCAATGGCATTCTAATATTCAAATTTTTGACCCAAAATCCTTCAAAGGACCCTAGTGGGAAAACTTGTGAAGAAAGAATGATGGGTTTGTAAGCTCTGTGTCCATAGAGGAAATGATTCTGAACAGCGAGAAATGGATGACGGAAGCCAACAAATGAGGGTCTGAGACTTTCTCTGCCAGGTTGGACTTTACTCTAATACGAGATGGCGTGATGGGAGCTGCACAGCTCAAATATTAGGATTCATTGTGCTTCGTTGATTTGCCACTTAGCTCAACAAGTAAATTGGCTAAAATGTTGGACATTAAAACACCAAGAAATCTATGTGAGAGTCATTGGAATCATTGCTTTATTACACGAGATGGAACACTAAAAATGTATGCATATTCCAAAGCGTGTGCAAATAAAGGCCTGTGATATTTACAGCATATTCTCTGGGGGCACTAACAGCTTAAATTCTCATTTCTGTACGTTTTTGAATCTTCCATAGAGAGAGACTCCTTCTGGGAGTAAGATAACCACAGTAATCATGCACGGTGTATTGGAATCCCATTTTCCAGGAATCAGACCATGGATGTGTGAACAGAGGCAGTGATCTGTTGACCTGCAGAAGCAGCTGGGCTCTCAGGGCTTTCGGCCATGGGGAGGGGTGTGCCCTGTGACCAGCAGGGGGCACTGTGGGACTGCCCTGTGGTCCCTACACAACTGCTCTGTGAGGACCATTCACTCAAAGGAGCCTGGGCCTGGGGGCTGGGCCCTGTGCTCACTGATGGGGACTCAGCAGCTGTGTCCTCTCTGGCCTGGCAGAGACCCCTGAGCAGGGCCCTTTGTGTTGTCTCAGCAGGTGCTTCCTCCCAGGGCTCTCCCAAGGGGTGAAGCCAACCTCCATCCTTCTCAGTGTGTGATGTGAGCTGAGCTCCAGCACCAGGGCTCAGGGAGGGGCTGGGCAGTCACTGGATGGAACCTATTTGCATGGACAACCCCTCCTGTGGCAGAGGCTGGAGAAGAAAAGGAGGCCTGGGGCAACCCAGCCTCACTGTGGAGACCAGGAGATTTGTGCACCATGGCCTGTACTCCTCTCCTCCTCGTGCTCCTCTCTCACTGTGCAGGTAGGGACAGGCCTCAGGGACCCACAGCAGCCCACAGTCCGTGTCAGCCTCTCTGGCTCAGAATCTCAAGCAGCCCAACTCTGGCCCCTGCCCCAGCCCCCACATATGTCTGTGTCTGCAGGTTCCCTCTCCCAGCCTGTGCTGACCCAGCCACCCTTCTTCTCTGCATCTCCTGGAGCATCAGCCAGACTCACCTGCACCCTGAGCAGTGACATCAGTGTTGACAGCTCTCTCATATTCTGGTACCAGCAGAAGCCAGGGAGCCCTCCCCGGTATCTCCTGAGTTTCTAGTCAGACTCAGTTAAGCACCAGGGCTCCGGGGCCCCCAGCCGCTTCTCTGGATCCAAAGACACCTCGGCCAATGCAGGGCTTCTGCTCATCTCTGGGCTCAAGGCTGAGGACGAGGCTGACTATTACTGTGCTACAGCTGATAGCAGTGGGAGCAGCTCTGGTTACTCACAGTGTCTCAGACAACAAGGAAGTGAGACAACAACCCCCAGACCCAAAGACCTTGGCTCTGAGCCTCTTTTCAGTGAGAAGCTCCTGTGGAGGCCTCTGGACAGGAGACTCCTCCGCATCCAGATTTATCCATGAGCAGAGGAAGGAGAAACGTGCAGGATGCACCTGTTACCTGAGCCAGCACAGGGCATCCCAGGATCACACAGATGATGAGGTCACAGAGCCCAAGGGCACGTCCCATGGGGTCTGCAGGGAATGAGCAAGAGTAAGTGCTGCTTCTGCTGAGAACACGCTAAGTGCTGAGCAGTGTAACCACATCCATCCACACGTCAACGTCTTCATCTTGCTTCACAGACTGTGTCCTGTGTTACTAGTGACGTATCTACAGCCAGTGTATTAATACTCACCCTGGTCACAGACACATTTTCCTCTCTCTGAACCAGCCCACACAGCAATTTGCTCACAACTTCTACAGACCGTCACTGACAGCATCCCTCACACGCATCCCTCCTGATCTCTCCTCTTCTCCTGAGTCCCCGGGGAATTCAGATCCCTCCCTCTGGGTCTTCCTGTCTTAACTCCATCTCCACACTAGGTTTTCAGTGAAAACTGGAAATGTTCTTGCTGTCATTTCCTCTCTCAAGAGACTCTATCTCTAGGAAGGATAATTAGCAGACATTTGACCAGCAGGAAATGGCTTCATAATCTTATTCCTACTCTCATCCCCACACTCTGGTTGTTCTGTACTGTCTATTGTTGGGATGGTTCAAGATTCTCCTGATGTGATGAAAGCAGTCTGGGTGTGTCCCCACTGTTCATATTTTCTAGGTGAGACTGTTCAAGATTGGAATTTAAAAAGTGTACATTTTTCTAAATGAGGTAATGTTCTAAAGAGATAAATTGATGAATAAACATTATAAGGTGTATTTATAATTCTTCATAACATATTGGAGAAGGGGAAATGAAAAATAATGTCAAATATTTTGAGGAAAGTTAACTAGCCCGTTTGTTGCGACAGCATTCACAAAATCCATATGAACATGCTGCTAGAGCAGGAGCTCACGTTTCCCCTCTTGTAGGACTCTAGGAGTGAAGCTGAAAATTTTTCATCTGCTATGAAATTTGACCTCCCCACTGAAGTGATTTCAGGCTGATTATTACTGCTCAGCGTGGGACAGCAGCCTCAGTGATCACGCGGGGCCCCAGGCCAGTGGGGAAGGAGACACAAGCCCTGAGCTCCCCAGGCTCACCCAGCAAATGGGGCCCTCACAGAGCAGCATTCACTGCCCAGGAAAGGACAGGGGCTGCGCTCCAGCTGACGATAGTGTGGACTCTTCAGGAGTATTAAAAATAATGTAAGTGAGAAAACCTGGACCTAAAGGATTAACAAATATATTCAGGCAACATCATTGTGAATGCATTTGTGTCTGTGTGAATATGTACATTCACACGCATTGAAAACTGTGTAACAAAGGATTTCAAGGTTTAAGTAAGAGAATATTTATTTTCCAGGATTTTTACTTTCTATTCCAGTTGGAGGTGCTGGGCTCACCTGCTCAGAGGGTCCATCTCTCTGACCTCGAGTGGCCATTCACCAGGGTCACTAGCAATCAGCATCCCCACTTTTTCTGACATTGGCACATGCCCTGACCTCTGACTTGAGGGCTCTTCCCTGTCTCTCCCAGGGCGATCACTTGACTCATCCGACAGATAGCAGCTTACATATCACAGCTTCATCCAGGCACCTTTGTCCCAACACCCCCTTGCGCACCCCACATGCACACAGGGCCGTGTCAGCGTAGGTGTGTTGCTGTTGCACCCTTTCACTGTCCTGTGACACACCGAGGTCAATGTCTGCCACAGCAGGCAAGGTTGGAGCTCTAGGATAGAGTGGACAGAGATCGACAGTTTGAAACTAATGATAGTTTTTCATCAAAACAGAAGTCCAAGTGTGAGAGCATCACTGTCCCCATGGTGATCCTAGAAAAGCTTTTCTCATTCCACTCTATTGGGACTAACATCGGGCAAGACTGCTGTGAAAACGAACGCTCTGCATGGGGTGTTAGGGATACCACAGCTGCTGCAAGATGGGCACTCTCACCAGCAGGGGGAGCAATGGAGTGTCCTCAAACTTGGTGTTTGGCCAGACAGGCTTTCAACCACTCACTGGGCTCCAGGGAGCTGGGCAAACTGTGTCCCCCCCGGTGTGAGAACTTCCTTCACCTGTGAGGCCTCCCGTCACCCTGTGGGCTCCTGGTTCAGGCTTCCTAACTGCTGGCTTCAAATGTAGGTCATCGCCTCCTTTTCCTTCTGGGAGTCTGGGACAGGGTGTGGCGGACAGACAATGAGGAGCCTGAGTGCACTTCCAAGGAGGAAGTGGGCTCCTGGGAACACTGTGCAGAAGGTAAGACACGGCTTGTGGGCGGAGTCCACACAGGGACCCTCAGGAGACAGAGCTCAGTGGTGCCTCCACCAAGCCCTGGAGTCTCGTCCTTCCAGCTTCTGGTAGGGGTCCTTTGTCATAATTTAGGGAAAAGAGACCCTGGGGTCACACAACACCTGCTTTCTCCTCAGTTCCACATGGAGCAGGTGCTGTGACACCAGACTCACAACCTCTGTCTCAGTGTGTTGGTCACTTGGGCAGAAGGTCCCCACCTTCTGCACAGGGAGGCTCTGCATGTGGGTTATTCTGGCTGAGACAGAAGCCCCATAAATACGGTGACTGATGTTACTTAGGATGCAGCCTGATTGGGAGGCAGATTATTACTTCCAACCTCGGGTGACTGCCTAACGCCTCACAAGGTGCTCTTCACCGCTGGGCGGGTGGGCCAGGACCTCCCCTCTGCTCCCCCTGTTCCACCCACGTGCCTCTGTCACTGACTGTTACCAGTACTAGTGAGTGTTAGTGAATAGTCACTCATTGGCGAGATCTCTACTGTCACTTCTGCATCAGGACCAGAGTATCTCAGGCCATAACATTCATGTGGGTCATTAAGAATATCTACTTGTTTATTCTCATCAATGCTACATCCTAACCATTAATATCACTCCTTCAATTGCATTTTCTAATGCTTGAAGAATACTGGGCAATATTAATGGAGGTAAAAGTCACCCTTACCTATTGTGGCTCTTTTTGGAAATGCTCCCCTTTACCACTCCATTGACTAAGATGCTGCCCTTAGGATTTCATTATATGTGTGTGACAGAATGTGTATTACCATATTATAAATGTGTCTGTTTGCTTGAATTTTTATGTGGCTTTTACTAGGAATTGATATTAATTTGGTCATAGTCTCTTTCAGGATCATTTGAGACTGTTTCCCAATTTAAAATAAATTGCATATTCACTAATTGTTCTGGGAAGTACCTTCTGGACCACAATGTACTCCCTCCCTGTTTCCTAGTCAACATTTCTGTACACTCTGGAAAAATAAAGCAACTGGAAACTCATGATAAGACAGAAAATTTGCTTGGTAATCCAAGTTTTATAAATCAGAGCCTGTTGAGATGGCTTTTTTCTCTTTAATAAGATAAATAAACCTCCCCCAGCTTTCTTCATCAGAGCCCGGGATGCTCCAGCAGAGGGACAGTCCTCCACAACGTGGACTCTGCTCTAGGAGGGGTCAGAACATAGACCTTCCCATCCCTCCCAGGCTCCTGTGCTCAGGGCTGGCTGAGGCTCGGTGTGTCCCAGGGAGGAGGCACTAAGATGTGCGACGCTGTGTGAGGACACAGGACGGGGAGGAACTGCAGGCTAGACCTGGCCTGGCACATGTTCCTGTACCTGGACCTTCACTCGTCAAGTCAGTTTGTGGGGTTTGGTGACAGAATATTGGGGGCCTGAAGTGCTGGGTACACACTGAGCCTGGTCCGGGGAAGTGGATTGAAGTGGGTGTCATGGAGGCGACTCTCCTACAGTTGACACTGCTCAGGACCATGGGGATCTCCATGAGTGGGTTCCTGGTCCACAGGCACTAACTTGTGTCCTCCTCTCCGCTCCTACCCAACTGGAGCTTTTCAACAACCCAGGGTGTGGGTGTAGGGCTGTGGAGCGTCAGGGAGCAGAAACTCCCCAACATTTGATTGAAGTGACTTCACCCCATGCAGCTGTTGAGAAGGGTCAGATCCAGAATCTACCTTCTCCTGCACAGGAAGCACAGAAACATTGGGGATCACCATAGTGAGCGCTCCCAGGGAGAACACTGAGTTTGTGAGCTAGGACGACATTGATTGACCTTCATGGGTCCCAGCCTGATTCTGTCTCAGGGTTTCTCAACTGGGCCTCCTTTAGCACCTCTGGGCTGCAGTCTGAGGACAAGGCTGATCATCACTGTCACACAGCTGGCTTTAACCTCCACAGCTCCAAGAACTACTGCTCCATGGTGAAGTGAGACGATGAGCTGCTCTCCACTCCTGTCTGATGCATCCCTCTTCTGTTCCTGCCTGTGATACACACCAGCTCAGGTTGTGTCTTCTTCTGCCACTTCCTCTAACAGCAGAGTATGGGCTCAATGAAATGACTCCCTGTCATACTGGTCTCCCAGTACAAACATCAGCGATTTGTTTTCAGAAGCAATAGTATCTGCCCACACTTAGTGGGTGTGGATGAGGTGTGACGACAAGGACGGAAGTCCCGCAAGTGTTACTCAGGGATCCAGTTACACCTCTGTCTGACCCCATAGATATCATCTCCTCTGGACCCAGGATTGGCTGTTCATATAAGAGACACCACCTCAGTCCCGACTACTGAACAGCTGAGGGCCATGGGGTCAGACATACAAAGCACACGATTCAACAAACCCAATCTTAGGAAAAATTTATGTTCTCACAAATTCCTGGGTGTGAATGTTTTTGCTGCCTTAGTCAAATTTTCTGAAATAGGACTATTGAGGTTTTCCATTTTTTTTGAGTGAGTTTGTAATGACTTTCAGTCTTTTTTAGTCTTTTGCTCTTCGTTTGTTCCTGAATTTCTAGCTTCTCTTTTGTGTCATTTCACCTCAGCCTGAAGAAGATTCTGCCACATAGAATTTTCTAACAAGTTGTCTGGTGATCATTTCTCCTAGTTTTCTCTCATCTCCACCAGCCTTTGTTTTGCTTTTGGTTTTGTGTGGCTTTTGATCCTTAAGGATGTCTTT